TGATTTAAACGAACAAATCAAAGTTAGGAAACTCAACTATCTGACGAGCGAGGGTGTGTGTGCGTGTGATGCAAATGAGAGTATGGAGAACCGAATATTTTAGTACCACCGAAAGTACTACTATCGCTTGAGTGCACTGCTTACAAATGGCTAGAAAGTCAGCCGAAGACGTTTAGGCAAGCCTCAGGGGTCTGTGGTCCATGGGGATGACTTGTGGGTGATTTGGGCATCAAGAGGCAGTTTGTTTTCGGAAAATAGTTCGACAAACTTAATGGACTAGGGAGTCATATTTTTACCTTTGGACCTTCAGTGCACACACCCTATCCGAGATAATATTAATCGGCTTTCGGAAAAGTACGAAAAGTCCGACGGCTTTCTGGAATATTTAAAAAAACCATATCGCAAATAAAAAAACTGGCTAATTAAACAATCCAAACCCCAAGAAACAGCGAAAGCTCTTTGCAATCTCGGCAATTTTTCAAGAAATCCTGAAAGCTGCGTCTGATTAATGAAGTCTCCCACAATATTGTAGGTCATGATTCTAAGTTTCTGGATAAAATCGCTTCAACTTTTAAATATGGCCAAGATGACGAAAAAAGCACGCACGACTTTTGCGCAGAAACCAAGTAGAAGCACACTCATAAATTTTTATGCACAATGCAACTGCTCATCATTTAAAAGCAGCCTGTTGGCGGTTACGCTGTCCGCTTACTACAGTGAGTGACCGATCACATGAAATTTGTCCTCTGTTTGGAAGAAATACGCAAGTAGGGTTACAATATTTATTATTGTGAAGCATAATCCCGAAATATGTCAGCTGCCACAGGATGCCGGCTTTTTGCACGCATTTTTTTCTAATCGCCTGTAAAAAACTACTCAAAAAGTTTGATTTTTCCATGGATTTTATGTGCTCTTGTACATTCGAGCACTTTTTTAGAATACCCTAATAAAAGTGTTCTTCCCCGTACTACTTTGGTAGCAAATTATGCTCCGTTCAAATTTTAAAAATGAGAGGAATGCCGCGTTTGGTTTTGAAAGTTTACAATTATGAAATTATTCTGAGACCTATAAATAGCCCTCCAAGTAGTACCGTGTCGGTCAGTTTGGTCGTTTTCTATACGAAATATATAAACTGATCCATTTTCCTTACCAAATTCTACGAACGATATATATTGCCTTGTGAATAGCTTGATGCATTATAGAATTTCCATTACATCAATGTACGCAGCGTAGAGTTTTGAAACCTTAAGAGCAAGTGCGGCAACAGGTCAAGTCCAAAAATCTTCCGGACCTGCTAGCCTCTAAAACCGAAAACTACCCCATCCTGTTGCATAATGGGTACGAGCAAAATACTTTTATGCGCGTTTTCCGAAAACATACTTGAATTAACAGGGTTGTCGAAATCCAATGGAAAAAAGCTTATTGTTGAAGTAGTCGTTTTTTACGTAACACGGTTTTTTAGGCGGGGGGAAGAAGCGCATTCAAAGACTGGAATCCTGGAGTGGCCAAAGTGTCTTAGAATTATGTTGCATGACGATTAGTTTTGCAGCCCCCTTATAAGCAATCTTTTTTAATGAAGAACAAATTCCTGAATCCCAGTTAAAATTTCATGGGATTTGTCAGTCACTATAATTCGCAGGTATTCCATTTTGTAGCAGCCAACGCCCCTTTAGCAAGTCTACTTACTTAAAATCAGACTGTTTACACACAGAAATTGCAAAGAGCTTGTCGGCCGTTCAAAAACTGCAATAGTTCCGTCAAACGGATCGCGGACTTTTTAAAAAAGAAATGGACAAACATTAATGAAGAAATGCCTTTGGGAAAGAACTTAAAAACTCCGCTTCTGATCGGCCGCCAGTATTCATACAAAACGCGCAACCCTCTTTCATCCTGTCACATGCCGCAAACACACTTTGACGCAGTAATGTCTCTCCTGTCCCTTTAATGCATTAGACAGAAATAGAGTGAAATTTGACGCAGCGCATTTTCAGGGTTGGAAAAGGTGGTCAAAATCAAAGTTAAAAAGCAGCTCTGCTCGAGAAATCCCCATCTCCGACCCACCATTAAAAGCAGACAACTTTTACATCATAAATTAACTAAGGTATGTATTAAAGTTTACTCCAGATACTGTAGGCAGAATGGCATTACAGACAAAAACAAGGGAGATTGGAATGACCATTTCTGGCTTATTAGTCGTCGTCAGCCTGTCATACCCAAGCCCGAAGTGTGGAACACCCGAGCCTCGAACTCGCGACCTGTTAGTTAGAAGTCCACGCCTCTAAGCCTCGGGTGTTCCACACTGCGGGGTTGTGTATGACTGGCTGACGACGGCTAATAAGCCAGAAATGGCCATTCCAGCCTCCCTTGTCGGCAATAACATACTGCCTATATCATGCGCCGCTGTGCGGCTGCGGAATGGGTCTGAGAGAGAGCCCGTAAGGCACAACGGAACGAGTGCTTTCCGTGCGCAACGATCGGTGAGCGCCCCCTACCATTCTGGATACTGTCTTGAAAGCATTTCAAACTCGGCTAGCGACACTGATACCTATCAGCCCTCTAATTTGTCAAATACTTATCGATCAGATTGGAAGATCTGATCGCAAATTGGCGTACGTCTGACAACTTTCTTACACGCACAGTTTAAGCAACATAAATGAATTTGCGTAGGACATATTTCTCGAAGATGGGCGTCAATCGCAAATAAAAACTGGTGAATACTGGAGACCGTGTTGTGTGAACACAACATTTACTTTTGAAGAAACGACTGGGCAGTTTTTCCGGTTGCTCATTATCTAGGGGGAAATCACACCTTTTATTCTGCCATCGAGTCAATTGTTTGGTTGGATATTTCACAACTTCATCAACCGATGATTTTGGGAGGCGCATCTTTTTACTGTTTCCTCCTCTACAAAAGTACTTCTGCTCCACAAATACTATGGAAGAGCGCAATTTGGGCATCTGACTTAATAATTGATGTAATTCACTGGAGATATACGGGTAATCAACAATTAATTAATCAGTAGAGTCCCAATGTGCTTATCTAAACTGCGATTGGTTGGATGTGGTCGCACGTTCCCGCTCACTGCAAAAAAGACCACAACATTTCGTAAAACAGAATGTTAGTTTCCGGTTAAATTCAGTTGAAATGTTTTGAGTTAGGTATTGTTGTAGTTCTCTAAATAGTACGGAGCCTCGGGAAACAGATGATAAATCACATGAGGCCTAGTCATGGTCCGTTTATTAGATGTAATAGGGAACAACAAACGGCCTGTAAGGAGTCCAAAATCAGATACGCGATGCACTGCTCAATTGATATTTACAGTTTAGGAGCTTCAGTCAGATCACTTGTACAAAATACCCGAGAGACTCTGAAAAATTGTCTATTAAGCCCCATACAACAACAAAGTCTAGTTAACATAAAGGTAGGATAGTCAGTTGCACTTTTTATCTACACTGCTAGAGGTGACAGCAGCGAAACCACAATAAACCGGTGAATAAACCGAGGAATTGCATTCTACACGAATTGCGGCAGTAAACTTGAACAGCGTTTCAGACATCGGCTAACTACCGATTCAGGTACATGACAAAGTGAAATTAACTTTATGAAAATTCTTATTTGAAACAATTCTCTACCAAACCATAACTCCCAAAAGCTTCGAGTCAAATGAGCAACTAGTTACTAAAATAGTTTCCGGGGCTTTGTTTTAATGAAGGCTAGATGCGCTGCTTTCATTGACGTGAAACCAACACACAGACATTCCGACTTCATAACCCTATGTTTTCTGGGCAGCGGTACTAATAACTAAAGGTCTAAAGCCGCCCCTTTGATGAGTGACATCAAAAGAACTTTAGTCAAAACTTTTTCAACCTGCAAATTAGTTGTCAGAAAAACATTCCTTTTTCCGAGCTCTGTTAAAGTTATAAGAAAGACAGGATTTACTGGAATCCCCGAGTATAATGGCCTTCCACTGAGTTACGGTAAGCAAATATCTGACAAACGAAACAATATGAAATGAGCATAACTCACTTAAGCGTAATAGCATAGAGTCACAGTTAACCAACTACGTTAGGCCAATGAAGGGTGGTTAGGGAGTGATGACGGGAGGTGGGGGGACAGGCTGAGGAAATGACAGCGTAGGAGACATGTTCGCTGGACCACAACCAGAACTGAATGTCCACCTTGATATCAAAGTTAATTAAGTTACGTACATGCGTTCAGTGTCATGGCTTCCCTCTGCATACAGAAAGGGAAACGGAGTAACCTCTGTGTGTGTGTGTGTCCTCCAAACGGGCCACGCGTTAGATGCGCTGGACCAACACGGGGGCCACATCGGACTCTGGCAGGCGTTATCTTTGCGTAATAACAAATGCCAACATTTGTGGGGTGCGCTGGCGGACCCTGTTGTCGGCATTCGTCGCTCAACTGGACCACTGCCGCCACCCCATTGTTTTGTGGTCAAAATCCTGGTCATTTGTGTGTGGACCAGGGGGTGCGGAGTGGAGCGCCAAGGCGAGGATCCGTCCGAGCCATCCACCTGCGGCCTCCCCCGTCTCCGGTCATCTTGACTCTGTCTTGACACCGGGCTCAGGCGGGGGAGGAGGAGAGAGTGTAGGTAGATGCAACGCAAGTCTACTGGCACTATAAACCCCTGCGTAAGTCACCGTCCCTGCTCCCACAATGCAGTCTGTTGGGCATCCGGTGGACATCGTCGAAATCGACGGTCGAACTGTCGTGTGTATGTGTGTGTGTATGTGTGTGGGGGGGTGTAGGGATGTCAGCGGTGGGTCCACGTGATGGTCGTAGTGGTCGCTCACTTGCTTGCAGGTGAGACTACGCCTAGCGTCCATTTGCTGGCACCTAACTCTCACCTGTGGCTCCACGTAGCTGGGCTCTGCTCAGCGGCCACACTCCGGGCAACCGTCTCGACCGGCGGGCTAAACCAGGTGAGGGTATCCGTGCGTGCACCTGCACGCGCGGTACTGTGGTCTGCGCTGGCCGGATGGATCTTCGCGTCGACATCGTCGAGACGAGGCTCTGCCTGGACCATCGCAGGAGGCCACCAGGTAAGTTCCCCCTCAGGTAAGTGCATTTGCTCTGTTTCTTCCTTTTGTCTGCTGAAGTTCCTTGTCGAATGCTGCTCTTGCTGCCTGCCTTCTGTATGCTAGTCTGTCTGTTAATAGATAAACGACACCCTCGATGCCTGCTGCGATTGTCTGTCCGTCAGTCTATGCCACTCTCTACTGACAGTTCGACCATCGGTTTCGATGATGTCCACCGTGTGCCCCACAGACTGCATTGTGGGAGCAGGGACGGTGACTTACGCAGGGGTTTATAGTGCCAGTAGACTTGCGTAGCATCTACCTACACACTCTCCTCGTCCCCCGCCTGAGCCCGGTGTCAAGACCAAGTCAAGAAGACCGGAGACGAGAGAGGCCGCAGGTGGATGGCTCGGACGGATCCTCACCTTGGCGTTCCACCACACCCCCTGGCCCACACAACAAATAACCAGGATTTCAACCAACACAAGAGAGATTTGGAGGCTGGCACGGCCGAAGCCGCACCTGGGCGTGCCGCCAACGCCCGGCTCGGATCCCACACTGTGATGGGGGTGCCATAAAGGCCACATTAAAAAGGAGTCATTGCAGCCTGACTCTCAGACCGCCTCCGGTCAAGGAGGAGGTCCAAGATACCCCGTCAGTTGGCAACCTTCCAAGCCACGGCTTTTAGCGCACCGTGATAGCTTCAAGCGCGTCAGATTGTTTATAGTGAGGAGAAAGTGCGCTGAGTCGTCAACCTCACTCTCCCTTCCCACTCCCACACGCCAGCCGCTGTCCGAGCCGGTCAGCAGACTGGAGTGGGGAATGGGCGCGGTGGCTGTCATGGTCGACTGACCATGACTGCGCGCGCCACGGCACGACCTGGCCCCCCATACACACAAACACCAGGATTTCACACAACGGGGGTTGAACGGCGTGTCTCTCACTTGCGTGAGAGTGCCGTGGAAGGTGCTGTTGCAGCCCGTCCCCAGCCCACCAGTCCGCCACTACACACAACACACAACGTGACGAACTGCGTGAACCGAGAGCAGGCCTCAATCAGCAACCTTCCTATCCACGACGCATGACGTGTCGGGATAGTCTCGGACACAAGTCACCTGTGCAGCCGAAGCCGCATGGGGACCGAGTCGAGATGCACACTTCCCACTTGCGTGGGAGGCGGCAGTTGAGTGCATGAGGTGTGTGGGGGTTGATGTCTGGTGGGGTGATGGTGTTAGGAGGTAGGGAGTGAGGGAATGTGTGGTGTGACCGGCGGTTGTCTACCGCAGGTCGTCGTGGATGCGCATGTGGCCGAATAGACCCATGCGATGCGTGAAGGTGCGAGGGCAGTGTGGGCAGTGGAGGCGAGTGCGGTGGGTGTAGGTTGGTGCTCCAGGCACTGGTTCGCCAGTCTCTGTGCGATGGATTCGCAAGTGACCGACCAGGCCAGCTAGGTGTTACGGTGCTTGACTTTGTGTGGTGCCCTCACTTTGTCTCTGACTGATGACTGTGTCCGCTTGTCCACTCTAGTTCTAAGTCCCATAGCGTTAGGTAGTGTGTATGCTCTCTCCTACTTCACTCCATCACATCATCACCACCACCACCAAGGTCCCAGGCCAATTCGGGTCGTTCTCTCACTAACCAAAAAGTCGTGGCCCATAGTGGAGTCCGGCAGCCGTCTGGGATAACCGGGCAACCCTGTTCAGGGATGCGTTGCGTGCCCCCGCGAGGGGGAGGGGGCTAGAAAAGGTGCCCTAAAGGTCGCTGGGAACCACGCTGTCTGTAGGCTGGCCGTGGTTGCAGACAAAAAACACACGGTCGAAACAGCCAAAACCGAAACTACAACAATAACAATCACTCTCTTCCTCTTCCAGCCTATTCTTCTTCTTCTTCTTATTCTTATTCTTCTTCTTCTCCTACTCCTACTTTTCGCCGCTGCAGTCGCCAGACTGGCAGGGTGAGCCCGCTTACTCTGGCAGCCTGGAATGTTCGTTCCCTTTTAGACAGTCCGAGGAGCAACCGACCGGAACGGAGGACGGCGCTAGTGGCACGAGAACTGGCGCGCTACAAAGTGGACATCGCCGCACTCAGCGAGACCCGATTCTCCGAACAAGGCCAACTGGAGGAGGTGGGTGCCGGCTACACCTTCTTCTGGAGTGGTCGACCCAGGGCAGAGCGACGTGACGCGGGTGTCGTCTTTGCCATCCGGACCGACATCGTGGGACGACTGCCCTGTCTACCGCAGGGAATCAGCGATCGCCTGATGAACCTCCGCCTGCCTCTCCGGCGAGGAGGCAAATTCGCCACCATCATCAGCGCCTACGCTCCGCCGATGAGCAGCCCCGACGCCGCCGCAAGAGACAAGTTCTACGAGGACCTGCACGTCCTCTTGGCGACTGTGTCGAAGGCGGACAAGTTGATTGTCCTTGGCGACTTCAACGCCCGCGTCAGCACAGACCATACTGCCTGGAGAGGAGTGCTGGGCCCCCACGGTCTCCGCGGCTCCAACGACAATGGTCTGCTGCTCCTCCGCACCTGCGCAGAACACCGCCTCATCCTGACGAACACGCTCTTCTGTCTGCCGGAGCGAGAGAAGGCCACCTGGAGGCATCCTCGGTCGCGTCAGTGGCACCTACTGGACTATGTCCTCGTCCGGAGGCGAGATCAGCGGGACGTGCTGGTGACGAAGGCGATCGCGGGTGCTGACGGGTGGACCGACCATCGCCTCGTCATCTCGAAGATGCGTATTCGCCTACAGCCTCGCAGGAGACCCCAAGGTAGGCGACCCCCAGGTAAGCTGAATATTGCTTTGTTGTCTTTGCCCGCTCATCATCTTCATTTCAGCAACGAGCTAGCTCAACGGCTAGACAACCTCCCCATCGCCGATGCCGCCGCTGCCAAGAAGGCCTCCGTGGAGAACCGCTGGTGTCAACCGCGAGACACGGTCCAGTCGACGGCGCTCGCCGTCCTCGGTCGCGCTCCCCGCCAACACCAGGACTGATTCGACGACAACGACGCCGCCATCAGAAATCTGCTTGCTAAGAAGAACCGCCTACACAAAGCCTACGTAGATCACCCCACTGAGGACAACAAAGCTGCCTTCTACCGCAGTCGCCGACGGCTTCAGCAACGACTGCGCGAGATGCAGGACGCCTGGACTGCTCGCAAAGCTGAGGAGATCCAAGGCTACGCGGACCGCAACGAATGGAAGAACTTCTTCTCCGCGATCAAAGCTATCTACGGTCCGCCGACGAAGGGCACTGCTCCTCTCCTCAGCGCCGACGGCAGCATTCTCCTGACTGAGAAGACGCAAATCCTACAGCGATGGGCCGAGCATATCCAGGGCGTCCTCAACTGCCCTTCCGTCATCTCCGACGCCGCCATCGCCCGCTTGCCGCAAGTGGAGACCAACGTGGACCTCGAACTCCCGCCATCTCTCCAGGAGACCATCAGGGCCGTGCATCAACTCTCCAGCGGGAAAGCACCCGGATGGGACGCAATCCCTGCTGAGGTCTACAAGCACGGAGGTCCCCTACTGATGGATCACTTGACTGCGCTCTTCCAGGAGATGTGGCGTCAAGGTGAAGTCCCGCAAGATTTCAAGGACGCAACTATCGTGCACCTATACAAGCGCAAAGGGAATCGCCAAGTCTGCGACAACCACCGCGGCATCTCCCTACTGAACATCGCCGGGAAGATCTTCGCTCGCATCCTGCTCAACCGCCTCAACAACCATCTGGAACAGGGCCTTCTGCCGGAAAGCCAATGCGGCTTCCGTTGTCATCGTGGGACCACGGATATGATCTTCGCAGCCCGCCAACTTCAGAAGAAGTGCCAGGAGATGCGGACCCACCTGTACTCTACCTTCGTGGACCTGACGAAAGCCTTCGACACGGTGAATCGTGAAGGACTGTGGAAGATCATGCAGAAATTCGGCTGTCCGGAGCGATTCACTCAGATGGTGCGTCAGTTGCACGACGGTATGATGGCGCGAGTCACGGACAACGGAGCTGTCTCAGAGGCATTCGCAGTGACCAACGGAGTGAAGCAGGGCTGTGTGCTGGCGCCTACCCTCTTCAGTCTTATGTTCTCTGCCATGCTGATGGACGCCTACCGCGACGAACGCCCTGGAATCCGCATCGCCTACAGAACGGACGGTCATCTCCTGAATCACCGGCGCATGAACTTCCAATCGCGCGTATCCACAGCAACCGTGCACGAACTCCTCTTCGCCGACGACTGCGTCCTGAACACCACCTCCGAAGCGGAGATGCAACGCAGCATGGACCTGTTCTCCGCCGCCTGCGAGAACTTCGGTCTGATCATTAACATGCAGAAGACGGTGGTGATGCACCAACCTCCGCCCAACTCAGCCACAGCCCCCAACGCGCCGCACATCAACGTGAATGGGACCCAACTGTAAGTGGTACAGAACTTCCCGTACCTGGGAAGTACCCTATCTCGCAACACAAAGATTGATGACGAAGTCGCCAACAGGATTTTGAAAGCCATTCAAGCCTTCGGACGCCTCCAAAGTACAGTCTGGAATCGCCACGGTCTCCAACTGAGCACAAAGCTGAAGATGTACAAGGCCGTCATCCTGCCGACGCTATTGTACGGAGCAGAGACATGGACGGTGTACACGAGGCCGGCACGTCGACTGAACCACTTCCACCTCAGTTGTCTTCGTCGCATCCTGAGGCTGAACTGGCAGGAACGAATTCCCGACGCAGAAGTACTGGAACGAACGGGAATGCTCAGCATCAACGCCATGCTGAGAAAAATGCAGCTGCGCTGTAGCGGCCACCTGGTGCGCATGGACAACGAGCGACTACCCAAACCACTCTTCTACGGAGACGTCGCGACGGATTCTCGTCGTCAAGGAGGCCAAATTCGCCGTTACAAGGATACCCTGAAGTCCTCCCTGAAGCGCCTGCAAATCAACCCGACCAACTGGGAAGAGCTCGCCCGCGATCGACCGACATGGAGGAGAACAGTGAAGACGGGCGCTGCTATCTACGATGCCAACCGCATTGCCGCCGCCAAAGTGAAACGCGAAGCCCGCAAATCACAACTTCGCCCAATACGCAACGCCGCCGCACAACCGCTCTCTACGTGTCCTCGATGTCAGCGGACATTCCGGGCACGAATCAGACTTGTTGGACATCTTCGAACCAAATGCACCTCTCGAACTGCTCCAGCCATCGTCCCCCAGCCCGCCGTTTCCTCGTCCTCTGTGCCGCCAACTAACTCTGAGACTCCTTCTGCACCACCACGTCCATCCTCCTCCTTCTCCTCCACTGCCCCAGCGGTGGCCGTTCAGGCTGCCATCTCACACATCGCCAACCACGACACAACAACCGCAACCACCCCCACCCCTCCCGATTCCAGTGATGAGGATCAGGACTACACCTGCCCTCACTGCCACCGCACCTTCACCTCACGCATCGGCCTGGTCGGTCACTTGCGAATCCATCGCACAGAGACTGGTGAACCAGTGCCTGGAGCACCAACCTACACCCACCGCGCTCGCCTCCACTGCCCACAATGCCCTCGCACCTTCCGGCATCGCATGGGCCTATTCGGCCACATGCGCATCCACGAGAGCCGAATTGACCGCAGCCTTGACACACCCACCCTGCCCAGCCCCACTCCCAATCCATCACCTTGTGCACCCACTAACCACTCCCCAGCCGACATCGACGCCACCGACCTTACCATCCCTCACTCCTCCCCTTCCTCCTCCTCTTCCTCCTTCACTGCCACAACGACGGCCACTCCGGCGTCTGTAACGCATGACTTAACCACAGCCGCACCTGACACAACAACAGGCACAAGCCCTGCAACCTCCATCATCAGGCGTGAGGTCCAGGACTACATCTGCCCTCACTGCGATCGCACCTTCACCTCACGCATCGGCCTGGTCGGTCACTTTCGAATCCATCGCACAGAGACTGGCGAACCAGTGCCTGGAGCACCAAACTACACTCACCGCACTCGCCTCCACTGCCCACACTGCCCTCGCACCTTCACGCATCGCATGGGCCTATTC